ACAATATATAGGCTACACTAAGGTGACGTTTAGGCGGTTCGTTTAACTATTATACGTGATGTAGGTTTCTTGGGGGCTGGTTAATAAAAGTGTTCCGAAACGCGACATTAATTTCTTGACGACCTAATACAAACTCATTATATCAAACGCTTATAGGTTTGGGTGAATAACATTAACCAGAAAAAGTTTCAAGCCATAAGTTAAAACTAACAGCTAAAATTTACCAAATGTTTCAACACAATCTAGACAATGAGAAAGACATCAACGAGTGTCGAAAAGTATGGCAAATTTTAGATATTAGTTAAAACGAATAGCTAAAAATTACCAAATGTTTAAACACAATCTAGACAATGAGAAAGACATCAACGAGTGTCGAAACGTATGGCAAATTTTAGATATTAGTTAAAACGAATAGCTAAAAATTACCAAATGTTTCAACACAATCTAGACAATGAGAAAGATATCAGTGAGTGCCGAAACGTATGACAAATCTTAGATATTAGTTTCTAACTTTGGATTTTAAACTTTGTCTGGTGATACAATTTAACGTAACAGGCTAACGTGGCACACAATACAACATACTCTGAGAGAAAAATGTGTAATTCAATCTTAATGACATATGTTTATATAACAACAATAAGTTGCTGCCGACCGATTGTCTCCCTGTTATCGGTAGCTCGAAATTAGGGATGGCAACACGCTACCTGTACAGCGCACTGACAAAGGTGATGCGACAAGACTCCATAACTGGAGGGAGGAGAGCAAGTGCTTTGTCCAGCGCTGAAAACTTCCTTTAGCATGTAATCATAACTATAACCAATCTTAACGGAATTGTTCCTTAAGTTAAAATAAAATAAAGTGAATAAAACATATTACAGATCACCAGTACTTTTAATTCTGTCACTCATGTTAATTTTACGACTTTTCATCAATACTAGAAACTCACCATAACCCCACATCAGAGCTACAAGTTCACATATCGCAATGAAGGTTATAGCAAAACCACCACCATACGTGTCCATCAGGTTCAGAATGTACTGTCCTCCCTGAAAACAATAACAACAATAATGAATCAACTATTTATTCAGAATATGGGAAGGGTTACTGACTTTGGCACTTCTTTTTATATTTATATTATTCTGGCACATAATGTTGACCAGAGAATTCTGGTAAAAAAAAAGTGCTCCCTCTGTCATCAAATACTGTAGTTAAACAAGTTGAGCTTCTACGATTTTTTCTCCAGAAATTATGTTAGAACTCAACTCTTAGTTATTATACGCTTTTTTCTTTGTGAAAGTTTAGTCACAGTAGTAACACTTGAAAAATATAGTGCCATCAGTTGTTTAACTTCCCAATGCTAGCTTTACGAAATTGAACCTATTTTGGTTATTTCTTTGCCATCAATTCTAACTCTAGGAATAATATTTATTAAGAGTAATATCGTGTATTTCATGGTGATTATATGGCTCATTATTTTATCAGTGATATTCTAAAGGAAAATTTTCACTGTATAGCTTGGTTGTTTTAGAGCTAAGCCAGATTGGGATATCTGGTGTGTTCATCGCAGGGAATCGAATCCCGGATTTTAGCATTGTAAGTGCATAAACTTACCGTTGTCCCACCAGTGGACTTCTCTGTGTGTATAACATTTTTATTTTGGTTTAGATTCGAACACTTCTTTTACTTTCTTCAGTGTTGAGTTGAATTTTTATTTATGTAAGGAATTTCTTAGACAGGAAAAAGTTAAAACAGGTCAAATAAATATTGAAGTTTAATACAATATGTGAAGTAAACTTATAATAAAAAAAACAAAAACATTCATACAACAAGTGATAAATCTATTTTACAACTTACATAAAAACAAAATTAACACAAAATAATTAAAAGATTCATAAACTTTGAGGTATAATATCGCTACCATGAAGGCACTATTTTTCCAGTACATACATACCTGAGTAACACAGGGAAGTCCGAGTATAAAACATACAATGCAGCAAAGAAAAGTGAGCAAAATCTTCTTTTTGCGCATAGTTGGAAATTCGTCACAAATAGCAGTCAAAAATACCTCTAATACAGCAAACTGATAAAAAAAAGAGAAGAAACCCCTACTGATAAAATTGCATTATATCCATATTAATGTTAATATTGTACCACAATGAAAACAGAATACGAAACTTGTCAAAACGTTCGTAAACTAATTTATAGCAAGCGTTTTCAATTCCATCACTGTCGTAACTTTTGAAGATAAATTCTACATGTAAATAAATGAGCTATCACCTGTTTTCTTTTTATATAGTAAACATGAAATACTTTAATA